GTCAGCCTGATCTGTGTACACAGGACACCCTAGTCAGCCTGATCTGTGTACACAGGACACCCTAGTCAGCCTGATCTGTGTACACAGGACATCGTAGTCAGCCTGATCTGTGTACACAGGACATCCTCGTCAGCCTGATCTGTGTACACAGGACACCCTAGTCAGCCTGATCTGTGTACACAGGACATCCTAGTCAGCCTGATCTGTGTACACAGGACACCCTAGTCAGCCTGATCTGTGTACCCAGGACACCCTAGCCAGCCTGATCTGTGTACACAGGACACCCTAGTCAGCCTGATCTGTGTACCCAGGACACCCTAGTCAGCCTGATCTGTGTACACAGGACACCCTAGTCAGCCTACTCTGTGTACACAGTACACCCTAGTCTGCCTACTCTGTGTACATAGTACACCCTTGTCTGCCTACTGTGTACACAGTACACCCTTGTCTGCCTACTCTGTGTACACAGGAGACCCTAGTCTGCCTACTGTGTACACAGTACACCCTTGTCTGCCTACTGTGTACACAGGAGACCCTAGTCTCCCTGATCTGTGTACCCAGGACACCCTAGTCAGCCTGATCTGTGTACACAGGACATCGTAGTCAGCCTGATCTGTGTACACAGGACATCCTAGTCAGCCTGATCTGTGTACCCAGGACATCCTAGTCAGCCTGATCTGTGTACCCAGGACATCCTAGTCAGCCTGATCTGTGTACACAGGACACCCTAGTCAGCCTGATCTGTGTACCCAGGACACCCTAGTCAGCCTGATCTGTGTACACAGGACACCCTAGTCAGCCTGATCTGTGTGTACAGGACACCTAGTCAGCCTGATCTGTGTACCCAGGACATCCTAGTCAGCCTGATCTGTGTACACAGGACACCCTAGTCAGCCTGATCTGGTGTACACAGGACACCCTAGTCAGCCTGATCTGTGTACACAGGACACCCTAGTCAGCCTGATCTGTGTACACAGGACACCCTAGTCAGCCTGATCTGTGTACACAGGACACCCTAGTAAGCCTGATCTGTGTACCCAGGACACCCTAGTCAGCCTGATCTGTGTACACAGGACACCCTAGTCAGCCTGATCTGTGTACACAGGACACCCTAGTCAGCCTGATCTGTGTACACAGGACATCCTAGTCAGCCTGATCTGTGTACACAGGACATCCTAGTCAGCCTGATCTGTGTACACAGGACATCTAGTCAGCCTGATCTGTGTACACAGGACATCTAGTCAGCCTGATCTGTGTACACAGGACATCCTAGTCAGCCTGATCTGTGTACACAGGACACCCTAGCCAGCCTGATCTGTGTACACAGGACACCCTAGTCAGCCTGATCTGTGTACACAGGACATCTAGTCAGCCTGATCTGTGTACACAGGACATCTAGTCAGCCTGATCTGTGTACACAGGACATCCTAGTCAGCCTGATCTGTGTACACAGGACATCCTAGTCAGCCTGATCTGTGTACACAGGACATCTAGTCAGCCTGATCTGTGTACACAGGACATCTAGTCAGCCTGATCTGTGTACACAGGACACCCTAGTCAGCCTGATCTGTGTACACAGGACATCCTAGTCAGCCTGATCTGTGTACACAGGACATCTAGTCAGCCTGATCTGTGTACACAGGACATCTAGTCAGCCTGATCTGTGTACACAGGACACCCTAGTCAGCCTGATCTGTGTACACAGGACATCCTAGTCAGCCTGATCTGTGTACACAGGACATCCTAGTCAGCCTGATCTGTGTACACAGGACATCCTAGTCAGCCTGATCTGTGTACACAGGACATCCTAGTCAGCCTGATCTGTGTAGCCAGGACATCCTAGTCAGCCTGATCTGTGTACACAGGACACCCTAGTGAGCCTGATCTGTGTACCCAGGACATCTAGTACATGCCAATACTGATACACAAACTCATTAGTTGTTTCCCTATATTCTTTCCACCCCAAAAATGTGAAATATATCTAAGACAGTATTTCTTCTTAATTGCCCTGAGTGTAACAACAAAACATCTTCACAAGAACATTCCCATAACATGGTAAATGGAAGATATGTGTCTACCCTATGCCTGTTTACAAGAAGACCAGTGGTTCTGACAAATAAGCAAGGAATTATTAGCATTACCCTAGTGGCAGTTTTACTTAAGGGGCTGTTCTATAGTTACAGCATATACAGACCTAGGTCCCGACGGGCAGGTGGGACTACGTACCCCACAAGTGATGTACATTATACTGCTCTCCAAGATGGGAGAAGAAGCCGGCAACAGGCGAGTTACTAGCTTGTCGGTACTTTATCCCTCTCGCCCTTCAAATCAACAAGACAGTTACCGCACCTAGATGGAATTATACGTTTGTGGCTAGATGTGAAGTCTCAGCTGTCTGGCACTCAGCTGAATCCCAGACCCCAATCCACAGAGCCACTGCCAGGTGTATTATGAATGCCATGACTGTCAACCAAACATGGTACGCTGCTCAGGAAAACAATGCAAACACTTAACTTCACTCTGGGGACCACATAGTTGAAAAAGTATTGGAAAGTATGATAGTGTCCTATGGCCAGGGATAGTAATGTACGTAGCGCCCTGTGAGCGGGCAATGTGCCTGGATGTGAGCGCCATATAAGCGGACTATTACTATAAGCAAGACATTTACAATGGGAAATAAGCAAACCTAGTCATGGTAGTTCAAACCTTCTGTGAATGCCCAAATGAAATGTTAGGTTATTGCATGTTTTCCCTTTGGTCCAGTACTAGTCCAGCACCTGGGACTAAAGTCTTCTGTCTACATGTGTTAGACAACATCTAGGTTAACCACTACTGAAATACACATAACACTCAGTGGTGCAGGAAACACTGAAAGTAGCAAAACAACACTCTCAAGCATTAGGTTGATAATCCTGCAAATAGACAGAGGATTGAAGTCTGGAAGTCTATTTCAAAATACTCCAAGTACTCCACCAAGCACTCCACCATGCTGACCTGCCTATTGGGTATGTGTTTGTACATTATTGTAAATCAGGCCCTGAAGGGTTTTAGAATTCTGATTCATCTGCAGCATTACGTCATTTTGTAAACAATTCCAACATGTTTATATGTCTTGTATGTCTCCTTAGTGAACACAGAGTAACACAATTCATCCATCCAAGAGTCAGGACTGAGAATCCAAAAATTAAATAACAATTATGACTGACCTGGAGTTACAAACTAACTCATGTATGACTGAACTGGAATTATGTTCACATGTATATCTTTTAACATTTTGTTGCACTGAAGTGGAGTTTAAGTTAGAGTCTATTGGAACTCTTGATTTAGTCACCATGCTCAATGGTATATGAATACCAGTAACTGAGTACAAATTTTGTTTGTAGTATTGGCAATACTGAAACGTGTTGTCCAGTATTTCCAGGAATCTATCCATATGGTTCCAGAAATTTGAAACATATGAGCATAGATAAATAATTCAGAGATTGATAAGATGGTGCAGCAGGTGAATTGATACATTCTTCTTGAACACTTGAGTAGGTCAACAGTTCCATCTATTTGCAGGATGGTTAGTATGACATTATGCCGGCATACAGCTGTGACCAGGGTTAACATAAGGCTAGAAGCTCCATGGTGACTCTAGTAACCTGTGAGGGGGACACTAGGTGACCTGCTACAGCTACTCAGTGCTGACATTGCTGCTTCCACTTCCTGGCCAACACTCAACCATTCAAAGTCCTGAGGCATTTAATACTTCTGGTCTGGTCATTCACCTCATTGCTACAGTTAGGTCACCTAGTTTCACCACTGTACAGAAAGCAGATGAAATAAAATATGAATTAAGAAAAGATACATGATATAACAGGTGAAAGTAAAGTTGTCAGTGTCATGACCCACCCAAGTCTGGAGCAATGGGATGTGCTAAGACCCCGCCTTCCCATATTTGAGCCATTATTTAGTCCTGTTGTTCCAATGAAATTTGTCAAATATTTACACATTGCACGTTCCTTTACTAAAACACCTGTGTGCAATTAAAGCAATCTTAAAGTGTGGTTAGGAGTGAGTGAGTTTTAGTTTTACACTGCTTTTAGCAATATTCCAGCAATATCAAGGTGGGGGACACCAGAAATGGGCTTCACACATTGTGCCCATGTGGGGAATCGAACCAAGGTCCTAGGCATGACGATGCGGACACTTTAACCACTAGGCTATCCCACCACCCAGTGTGGTTAGGAGTATACTTCTCTATTACCTATTTACCCAATGATCAACTGGTATGGGCAGGTCAAAACAATTCACTGTACTTTCAGTCTGATGTGTGATAGCATTAAGGAGACAGGTTAACATGCAATGTTGAAACGCAGCCAAAGTCAGCCATTGTGAGTGACATTCCAAATAAACACCACAAGAAATATAACAAATGAGTGAAATCACAAGTTAGGTACGAGAAGAAAGACATTAATATCATCGATACTTGACAGCAGCATGTTGAGCATACACAGTTAGGAGGTTTTCTTATATATTTCAGGGACAATTTAACATAAAAATGTTGCCAGAATATAACTGGAAAAACAGGAACTGGTCACTCAAAGCATTGGGCACACAGCACGTCTGCTAGCAGTCTGTTTTGGATCATATCTCACCATACTTTTGTTTCATATATTCAAATTGGTCTTCTTTCAGATAAATTGAAACAAATGAGTAGTTTTTTTCAAGAGAAAGTATACACAGGAAAGTCACACAAACAAACCCTCCTGACAGGTAAACTTTCCTAATACCTACAAAAAAGGATGAGGATCAAATGTTTTGCAGCATGCAAATGATTAAGCAAATGACATGATGTCAGTCAACTGCACAAAAACACTGTGATAGAACATACAGGTAGAAAGTCTAAATGAGTGGGAAGGACAAAACCACTGAAATGCGTGCTATGTCTCACACTACCTCGGTATGTCTGAAGACCAAAACACGCAGAGTGAGCAAGGTAAAGCTCACACACTTACCCCAGATATGGTGAGCATTATACAGTTCTCCCATCTGTGAAAAGAACCCTGCTACTGGTTCATTGTTAGTTTGACGAGCTTGGATTCCTCGGGCCCTAAATGCAACACGATGTGGTAAACCATATTAGTGTTTGTTGCTCCATCTTTCAACCTCATTTATCTTCACATTAGCACTGAACACCAACACATTTTGACAGCTTGCTTTTCTCAGCTCTTTTGACACGAACATATATAAATACCATTTTGAAGTATTCTACAACATCTATTGCTGTTTTCTGATATTGATTTAATTTTTTCATGATGGCACAAGTATTTTGTGTCATTAATAGTACTTGAGATAACAAGCGATCAAAATCTGAAACAGTGCACCTCATGTTGCAGGTTCCTGACAAAAATGATGAAAAACTGTAACAAAGACTGTTTAATGATAAGATAAGACAAGACGAATCAATATGGTGTCTCCTGCTAGCAGAGTTGACGGCCTGACAGTACTGTAGGTAACAATAAATAGGTACCAGGTGATGTTTATCTGGGGATAGCCTAACATCACACTAGAAACAAGGCTTTGAACATAAAAATACCATAAGTGGTGACAGGTCAGATTTGTAAGTTTCTTGGTCTGTTTGAACTTATTTGTCTATACATTTGTTGTTATTTTGATTACCATGATTCACAAAGGTGCACAATTGACAGTAATGTATAACAGTGTACTTCTTCCTGCTAAGCATGCCGTGTGTCCACATATTCTCAGTCATGTTGAAATTTCCTTATTTAGTAATGCCTGATATCATTACGAAGCAAAGTGGAAAAACATACCGGATTTGGGGATATTTCTTCATTTGTTTAAACAGAAGGCAATAAAACTTGGAAATCTGCTCCTGCCCACTAATGGCCAGTAAAACATGTTAATAAGAATTGATACAAGTAGCAACCATCAGTTCTCTCTTTCAAACAGGAATAAATTTAACAAATTTTCTGTTTTCGTCTTATGAGTCTTTAACTGTTGTTTAATTCATGACACTTTCTGTACATTTACCTACATACTTTCTACCAACAAAATACAGCATTAGCTCAAGCAATTCTCACCAGTTATTGCCCCACTCGATCATAGTTCCCGGCTGAAGGAAAGAAAAGGCACCATCAAAACAGGGCGAGTTTTACATGGGGAAGGCTTTACACTGCCTTATCACAGCAGCAACATCAGTAGAGTTCAGGTGCTGTAACACGAGTCTGAACCTGACCTGGGTGCCAATAACAGGGCTCCAGATAATTTTTCAACATCAGGAGTACATACTCCTTATATTTTCAATATAGGAGTACTGGATAAACTTAAGAGTACATTTTGAGTACTGAATGGAATTTAATGGCGTATCAGTAATCTGGTGTTTCGTTTCATATATGCACCACAACATTACTACTCTTGTGTAAACAGGTCAATAAACAATAAACAACACTCTTTCAGATAAATATGTCTGTAAATAAATACGCATGTACAGCATTGCTGTGGTGCGTATGTGCTACGTTTTCTAAATTATTTCCTACCGTATCGTGCATATTTTTTATCCGCACATACGCCGATATGGCCCTTATCTGGAGCCCTGCAATAAGCAACCTTAACGCTATGCCAGTCGGAAGTCTATGTTATGGTATAGGAGTTGATCACCTTAGTGCTAAGATAGCTTTGTACAACGGTACCCTGACATATAGATGCATGTCAACACACAGAAGGAAGTTACTCAACACCCTGCATATACTGCAGGTGACTTCACAAACCATGTTGTGATTTCAGTGAAGAAAACAGCTGTCAACTTACCTTAAGGACATAACTCCTGAGTTCATAAATGCTTTTGCCTTCTCTGGGTTTGAGCTCAGGCCAGAAACTAAAAGCAAGCAGGATCTGATTCCTCCTTGATCGCAGCATCTTGTTACGATTCTTGCGAAATTTTATGAAATCCTGCAAACATAAATTTTCTGAACTAGATCATGTTGATGCATTTCATGTAAATCATCTGACAAGAAAAACATGAAAACAACCGACATGACCAATGCACTGAAGTTTTATCTTGATACTCAGTTTAGAGCACTCGAAACTGATAAACAGACTTGCACATTTAAGAATGATTACGACACAGAGAACTACCCCTCAACACAAGCTAAAGATTTGCTGTATAGTGTACACAATGTCACTGTCCAAGTATACACTTACTTGGTCTGTTCTGTAGATTTGATTTGCTCTGTTGAGGACAGGATAGCCTCCCTTGAATGCCCATATGTGAACTGTTGAAAGTGTCATCACAATCAGCAATACAATCAAACCATTGCAAGTGTACTGAGTTTTATCAAAATAGATGACACTTAGTAGTCACCATGGTTATAGTTGTATTGCCTCTTATATAACACAGCGGACTGCCAATAAAGCAGTTAAATCCTGCCACGCTGTGGTAATCAGGATGCAACCACAGAAGTATATTTAGCAGAATAATGTGGATACATGATAACCACAGAAGTATATTCAGCAGAATAATGTGGATACATGATAACCACAGAAGTATATTTAGCAGTATAATGTGGATGCATGATAACCACAGAAGTATATTTAGCAGTATAATGTGGATGCATGATAACCACAGAAGTATATTTAGCAGTATAATGTGGATGCATGATAACCACAGAAGTATATTTAGCAGTATAATGTGGATGCATGATAACCACAGAGTATATTTAGCAGTATAATGTGGATGCATGATAACCACAGAAGTATATTTAGCAGTATAATGTGGATGCATGATAACCACAAGTATATTTAGCAGTATAATATACATGATAACCACAGAAGTATATTTAGCAGTATAATGTGGATACATGATAACCACAGAAGTATATTTAGCAGTATAATGTGGATACATGATAACCACAGAAGTATATTTAGCAGTATAATGTGGATACATGATAACCACAGAAGTATATTTAGCAGTATAATGTGGATGCATGATAACCACAGAAGTATATTTAGCAGTATAATGTGGATACATGATAACCACAGAAGTATATTTAGCAGTATAATGTGGATGCATGATAACCACAGAAGTATATTTAGCAGTATAATGTGGATACATGATAACCACAGAAGTATATTTAGCAGTATAATGTGGATACATGATAACCACAGAAGTATATTTAGCAGTATAATGTGGATGCATGATAACCACAGAAGTATATTTAGCAGTATAATGTGGATGCATGATAACCACAGAAGTATATTTAGCAGTATAATGTGGATACATGATAACCACAGAAGTATATTTAGCAGTATAATGTGGATACATGATAACCACAGAAGTATATTTAGCAGTATAATGTGGATACATGATAACCACAGAAGTATAGCAGTTAATGTGGATGCATGATAACCACAGAAGTATATTTAGCAGTATAATGTGGATGCATGATAACCACAGAAGTATATTTAGCAGTATAATGTGGATGCATGATAACCACAGAAGTATATTTAGATACAGTAACCACAGAAGTATATTTAGCATTATAATGTGGATACATGATAACCACAGAAGTATATTTAGCATGTATAATGTGGATGCATGATAACCACAGAAGTATATTTAGCAGTATAATGTGGATACATGATAACCACAGAAGTATATTTAGCAGTATAATGTGGATACATGATAACCACAGAAGTATATTTAGCAGTATAATGTGGATACATGATAACCACAGAAGTTATATTTAGCAGTATAATGTGGATACATGATAACCACAGAAGTATATTTAGCAGTATAATGTGGATACATGATAACCACAGAAGTATATTTAGCAGTATAGTATATTTATTTAGCAGTATAATGTGGATACATGATAACCACAGAAGTATATTTAGCAGTATAATGTGGATACATGATAACCACAGAAGTATATTTAGCAGTATAATGTGGATGCATGATAACCACAGAAGTATATTTAGCAGTATAATGTGGATGCATGATAACCACAGAAGTATATTTAGCAGTATAATGTGGATGCATGATAACCACAGAAGTATATTTAGCAGTATAATGTGGATACATGATAACCACAGAAGTATATTTAGCAGTATAATGTGGATACATGATAACCACAGAAGTATATTTAGCAGTATAATGTGGATACATGATAACCACAGAAGTATATTTAGCAGTATAATGTGGATGCATGATAACCACAGTATAATGTGGATGCATGATAACCACAGAAGTATATATTTAGCAGTATAATGTGGATGCATGATAACCACAGAAGTATATTTAGCAGTATAATGTGGATGCATGATAACCACAGAAGTATATTTAGCAGTATAATGTGGATGCATGATAACCACAGAAGTATATTTAGCAGTATAATGTGGATACATGATAACCACAGAAGTATATTTAGCAGTATAATGTGGATGCATGATAACCACAGAAGTATATTTAGCAGTATAATGTGGATGCATGATAACCACAGAAGTATATTTAGCAGTATAATGTGGATGCATGATAACCACAGAAGTATATTTAGCAGTATAATGTGGATACATATTAACCACAGAAGTATATAATGTTAGCAGTATAATGTATATGCATGATAACCACAGAAGTATATTTAGCAGTATAATGTGGATGCATGATAACCACAGAAGTATATTTAGCAGTATAATGTGGATGCATGATAACCACAGAAGTATATTTAGCAGTATAATGTGGATGCATGATAACCACAGAAGTATATTTAGCAGTATAATGTGGATGCATGATAACCACAGAAGTATATTTAGCAGTATAATGTGGATGCATGATAACCACAGAAGTATATTTAGCAGTATAATGTGGATGCATGATAACCACAGAAGTATATTTAGCAGTATAATGTGGATGCATGATAACCACAGAAGTATATTTAGCAGTATAATGTAGATGCATGATAACCACAGAAGTATATTTAGCAGTATAATGTGGATGCATGATAACCACAGAAGTATATTTAGCAGTATAATGTGGATGCATGATAACCACAGAAGTATATTTAGCAGTATAATGTGGATACATGATAACCACAGAAGTATATTTAGCAGTATAATGTGGATGCATGATAACCACAGAAGTATATTTAGCAGTATAATGTGGATGCATGATAACCACAGAAGTATATTTAGCAGTATAATGTGGATACATGATAACCACAGAGTATATTTATGCATAATTTAGCAGTATAATGTGGATAACCACAGAAGTATATTTAGCAGTATAATGTGGATACATGATAACCACAGAAGTATATTTAGCAGTATAGTGTGGATACATGATAACCACAGAAGTATACATAATAATGTGGATGCATGATAACCACAGAAGTATATTTAGCAGTATAATGTGGATACATGATAACCACAGAAGTATATTTAGCAGTATAATGTGGATAATGTGGATGATAACCACAGAAGTATATTTAGCAGTATAATGTTGATGCATGATAACCACAGAAGTATATTTAGCAGTATAATGTATGCATGATAACCACAGAAGTATATTTAGCAGTATATAATGTGTGCATATAATGATAACCACAGAAGTATATTTAGCAGTATAATGTGGATGCATGATAACCACAAGTATATTTAGCAGTATAATGTGGATGCATGATAACCACAGAAGTATATTTAGCAGTATAATGTGGATACATGATAACCACAGAAGTATATTTAGCAGTATAATGTGGATACATGATAACCACAGAAGTATATTTAGCAGTATAATGTCGATGCATGATAACCACAGAAGTATATTTAGCAGTATAATGTAGATGCATGATAACTACAGAAGTATATTTAGCAGTATAATGTGGATGCATGATAACCACAGAAGTATATAGTGTGGATACCACAGAAGTATATTTAGCAGTATAATGTCGATACATGATATGATAACCACAGAAGTATATTTAGCAGTATATATGTAACCACAGAAGTATATTTAGCAGGATACAGTATAATGTGGATACATGATAACCACAGAAGTATTTTTAGCAGTATAATGTTGATGCATGATAACCACAGAAGTATATTTAGCAGTATAATGTAGATGCATGATAACCACAGAAGTATATTTAGCAGTATAATGTCGATGCATGATAACCACAGAAGTATATTTAGCAGTATAATATTGAAGCATGATAACCACAGAAGTATATTTAGCAGTATAATGTGGATGCATGATAACCACAGAAGTATATTTAGCAGTATAATGTGGATACATGATAACCACAGAAGTATATTTAGCAGTATAATGTGGATGCATGATATCCACAGAAGTATATTTAGCAGTATAATGTGGATACATGATAACCACAGAAGTATATTTAACAGTACAATGATGACAGCAACTCACTTGCTTCGTCCTGGTCACCAATTTCCACAGTGAAGCTACCTACAAGACTTTGACCCGCATCTTTCTTCTTCAACAGCTCCTGAAACTCCTGGCTGCAAGGAAGTCGTACAAGCACACTTTGTAAATCATGTCAACCACAATGAAGCTATCCAACTGCGAGTTACTTGCTTACAACCAGACCTACGGCATCAACACAACAGATGTATTCTTTGTTCATAACAAAACTGTTGAGTTTTTTTTATCGTGTTTATAGTTTTGAGAAACTTTACAAGAAGTACCATTTTCCATCTGTGTTACACAAGTTCACACTTATTGTTAGTAGACGGCCATTATTTACTTACAACTGATTTAAATAATCTTCCATAGATTCTGGTTTCACTGCATGAACTGAAAACAAACGCAAATACAATGTTTTTGTTAACCATGATAGCATGGTTAACTGACAAATACCTAACCAAGTAATACTTGCAGGGTCGTCATTTGGATAGCCATCAGCACGACTCAATGAAAGATTAAAATGATTACTGACTAGGATACATACAGGATTCTACTGTATCTTTGGTAAGTAAAATTGGGAAAAAAGTATCATTTTTTTTCTACTTTGGCAATATTTAAACAAGTCTTATTCACATCAACTCTGATCTATTGAATCAACACTGCATTCAGTTCAAGCATAAGGAATTGAAGTATTTCTCATTTTTACATACTCATACTGACACAACAGTATGCAACATTCCGTCTTGCTATGACCACACATCAAAGTTGATCAAAGTATAACATACACCCCAACACATCCTTTGACTGTTATTCCCAGCATGTTGATGTACACTCATCACAGTTTCCTACAACTCCTCAAACAAAGGTGACAAGCTGACCTACATCTTCCAGGGGAATGCAGTCATGAAGTGTTGTGTCAGGACAGGTACACTGATAGGAGAATACTCAGATTCCATATATCTTTTGACTTATAACTCGACACCAGCATGTAATTATCCCTCATTTGGGGGGCAGCTGTCAGATACCCAATACCTAAGGTGGAGATGGCAAATGTGATAATGTGTTCATTTATATAGCGGCAAACTCCACACCAGGTATGCTCATAGCGCTAACAATCAATAAGGCACTATTGAAGTCCATAGAACTTTTTGTAGAGAAAGGTTTTGAGGTGGTGCTTAAAGTTTTCAAGGGTTGGAGACAGCTTAAGGTCATCAGGGAGAGAATTCCAATTGAACAATGCCATGTTCTGGTAAGACTTGTAGCTAAATGATTTGAGGCTTTGTGATCTCAGTTACTCAGTTAAAGTCCAACTTGATTTTTTTTAGACTAAGTCCAAATCATTTCCATGAAAATCATGAAAAATATAAATGCCAGAAATCTGCAAATAGCAAAAGGTACCACTTCAAGATAACTAGATGATCTGCCTGCAGGTGATCCCAAAGGTGATGCGGCAACAGCCACAGGGGGACACAAGGCCAAGCGCTGGAGTCTGGCCATACAGGCATCGACGAGATCGGCAGACAAGTAAACACTGTTCTAGAGTGCAAGGTATCTGACTGTCAGGTAGAGAGCATGGGAATATTAGGCTGACTTTTTCCCATGACAACTCACTCACTTGCAAAACCATAACAAAACCACCAGCATTAAACAAATAAAACAAACTAAGATAAAGCGAGGGTAGTGGAAACATGAGAGCAGTCTACCAAAATGAAGCCTTCACTACGGAGCTGCACCAAGCTGGAAAACACCCTGTGTCAACATGAAACTTACATTTACATCTGACATGGATAAACACGAAGGACTGATATGGCCATCTTATAGTACAGAATAAGAAATATTGCATACTGTTGTGGAGTGATCAGATCAAAAAGATGTAAAACTAAGCATAGCCTCTTCTTCTTCAATGGTCTTGTTATCAGTGATATACAAGTTACCTTTACCAAACCATAACATTGCACATGAATTTGTTAGCATGAATTGGGCAATGTTGATTTCAACCTGGGAAATTTTCACTGACTTTTGTGCTGACTTTGGCCAAGTATTGGCTTTCAAGCACATCTAGATATATAATTTTTACTTACCAACATGTCTGCACTTTTCCATTTATGAAAATCACTTGAGATAAGGATGATAAGAGCATCAAAGCAAATTCTACAATAAATATAACTGCAGACATATTCCCAAAACAGCAAACAGCTATATAAAGATCATTACAATAATTCAAAGCTGAAGAAAAATATATGTTTGAACACATACACTGAATCTCATAGACTGTTTCTTTACTTGAAAGTTGACTGGAGTGTGACTCGGAGCTAGTGGGGAGTGTTCTGACACGAAGCAGGTTCTTCAGCCAACCCCTTCTTTCATCATCCTGAAAGTCCTCGGACACAGCTGCCTGCTTGTGTGGCACTCCCGTGGTGCTGACACACCTGGAACACAAGCACTGGCCGTCTAAAGCAACATGCATGTTCGCCGTCCTCGGGCGGGCAAGTTTCAGTGTTTTTAGAGCAAGGTCAAGATGAGGGAGCTTACTGAACATGTTAAAACATTGCAAATTTGGTTTCTGTGATCATGCAGTAGCATACAAACTTAGAGTTGAAAGGTTTTTACAACAATCACTATAAATTGATTACATGTGCATTTCACAGTATGCCCAGCCTTCACAGACAGCACTTCAAAGTTCAAAGATTATTTACACAGTGGTTTAGAATTGATTCATTGAGCATTTGGCTTACTGTGTTAGCATGGTACATTGGAATACAGTAAAAGTAATTTCATTCAGCTTGAAAACAAATGGCCATACACACAGGGCAGTGGCAACATAAGAATTATATGAGAACATTCTGAAGTCGCCACTGGAAATTAGATTCAAAGACTTGAACAAATATGAGTGTTATGATTCGAATAAGACTTGTGAAGTTTCAGCTTGATTTCTAGTAGTGGTGTTCCGATGATTGATTATAATCAAAAATTGATTGGTTACCCTTTCCAGATGCAAGAATCGATTGCAAAATTTCATAATCGATTGTCGGTAATATTTTTTACAAAAACAGTAATGAATACCCAACTCAGACCACAAGACAACTGGCAGTTACCTATAATTAGAACTTCTATCCGCATTATTCACAGAAATCACAATCATATTGCGTCTACTCACGCCTCGAATGAAGTGTAGTTGACAGAAAATGGATACATACATATATTTTGTTTTGCTAAATGTCATATTTATTGGAGCTTGCGATCACAACAAACTGTCATGTGTATTTTACCTCATTCCATGCGCATACAACTTTCGCTTACCATGTTCATGAGGGTACGCTTTTCGCTCCAACCGTGATAGTACCATTTTTAACATTATTCTCAACAATCACAAACTGATTACCGCCTCGTCATCCATTTTCTGTCAACTACACTAAGTCTCCATTTCAAGGCACATTTTAGTCATGTAGTGTTTTCATGACAACTGACAAGATCTGTTGTTTGTTGAATGGTTGGTAATTGATGCTGTTGATGGTAAATATGATAAACCATAAAAGAACCAAAAAAAGCTTTTCTTTTGTGTACCTCTACATGTTCAACCATCTGTCTCTGAACTGTACTTGCTTACCTTCAGAAGGCTGAGACAATAACAAACACGTGACCTTGTGTAATATATTTATTACTTAGAGGGTATTCTTGTGATTTAATTTAACCGATTATTAATCGATGACTGATCGGTTGGGCCAATACGATTGTAACTGATGATCAATTATGAAATCACAACCAATTGCCACCACTAATTTCTAGTATGGTTTCTCAGGGAATGGTGTTAACAGAGCCGCGACTGTGGAATCATCAATTTGTAGGTAAAATCAATGACAAACTTTAAATCTAGCAAAAACATCTATATGTATATTGAACAAAAAACATAGGGATCGTGTATTTCGGAGGATATTGTTTTGTTGCGAAGTCCAGGTTCCTTTAAATATGTAGGGTATATAAAAATATTTCAAAATACCTAACCCTTTTCTTCAATGGATTTTCAGCGCCACTACTAAAGTACTGTCAGAAATAGAAAAAAACTGTTTTTAGGCTGTTACTCTGTATCCCTAAAATTGACACAATTGCAAATAGCATATGTCGAAATAACCCATATCGGCCTAACTGGGCCTTCAGGGGGATGCACAATAGGATATCCAGAAAAGCATGTTTACTCGTAAAATCGGGCAAAACTTGGAAAAAATATGAATAGCTGCTGAAAACAATAGATCAGACTATAGATGGCATTTAGGTCGCTCAGCCAGGTATGACGACGGACCGTCGACTCACTTGACATGAAATGCATGTGCTGCCCACAGACACAAGGGGTCATCTCAAATATATGTTATGCTTTTTCATGTGTATTGAATATGTCTCTATTGATTATCTAATCTTAGCTAATGTCTCTATTCCCAAGCCCGACCCCAACTACTGTCAGCAACACCCGTCTTGGTTTTGCTTTTGAGACGACCCCTCCTACCTGTTTCTTTTTATAGTGATAGTGAGACTCAATGCTATCCATATCCTTAATAGTTTCAGTATTAAAGTTGTTATTTTTTACGTCTGCTATTGTTTACAATGAAACTAAGTCTAATTTTATAATGGACATTCAATAAATGTCATTTGTTATACAATATCATTGCACCCTAATTTGCATAAAGCCATGGTCTGCTCCAAATAAGTCGTTTCGGACTTTGAAAAAAACCACATTGCTCATTTCTGCACAAATATCTCCTCAGTAAAATCCTTCTTTTACGCTTCCTATCTCCCTCCCACTGAGACTATAGAATGTAATTTTCTGAATAAAATTGATATTTTATACTTATCCTGACTCATGCTCTTTTGCTTGTCTTCTTCTTCTTGCGAACATAGTGGAACACTTGTATCTCCCTAATTGAAGCTCCCTTCAATGTAAAATCACTAATTAGTACTCACCCACGAGTTGCCTCCCTCTTCCTTAGCTTGGCGGGGAAAGGAGGCCACCCTCTGGCCTCATGCTTCACTCTCCCTGATATAGCGAGAGCCCAACACTTGAATTTACAGGGAAATCCAAAGTGTTATGTGGGGGGGAGGATGGGAGGGCTTACCTCATGAGTCAGGATAAGTATAAAATATCAATTTTATTCAGAAAATTACATATTTTTCCTTATCCTGACTCATGCTCTTTTGTTGTAGAATCCTCTGGAAGCGGAGGTGGGAAAAACAGAATACTTTGGATTTAAATAATTAGTGATTTATATATATATATATGTAATAACCCCCTCACGGGAACTTCATAATGGCACTGAATTAGGATAATTCCTGCTACTATAAACCATAAGTTTACCAGCTGCCATAGATGGGGTACTACAATAATAATATACTATGATAATAGCAATAATGGTATAAAAGCGACTCCAAAATGGAGAAGCTACCCAACTAATACATAAACATCAGTACTGGGCTTAAGACTAAGTAGACTTAAGATATGTATATAAATAGCCCTAAAACTCCGTAGAGTTATAAGCTAGATGATACTGGTATGATATATACATAATAATCTCGTGAGACTATGTCTCATCGTCTACGAGGGACTGTCAACTGCTGTGCGAGGACCATGGGACGAAATGGTGAATACCTGAGGGCGTCCTCGGTGGTGATATCTCTCAGATAGTGATTAGCAAACACCATGTCGGTTCCAAAGCAGCCCTCCATAATGGTATTTAATGAGCAGTTACCGTGTAGAAGCGAGTGTGGAAGCCAGTGCTCTGATCTCATGTGGATTAGATGCTCTTGGAGGGTCGAGTCCTGCAGCCTTGTAAGGCGAGAGTATGACAGTTCTTATCCATATTGATATGGTGAGTGCGAGAGACTTCGGTCTGAGTAAGCTGTCGATAGAGGGATGAATAATCGTTTGAGATGTAAATTAAGCCTCGTTTTGGATCGTCGTAGATAGATTTTGAGAGCTCTGACTGGGCATAGAGATAGGTCCAGCGTATCTTGAGATCCGAGGAATTGAGGAGAGTGCAGGAACATGGAATAATCTGTCTGGTTGACCTGGCAATTGATTCTTGGCGATGAAATCCCATCGTAGTCCCATGTGCACTATGTTTTGATTGTCGTCAAACCGTATTCTCTCATAATCTAGTGCGTGAATTTCTGACATCCTGGCTGCCGTTGCTAGGGATAACAGGAACAATGTTTTCTGTGAGAGAAATTCAAAAGTTGTTGATTCCAGTGGTTCATAAGCCTCACTTGTGAGGTGTTGGAGCACTATATTTAGATCCCATGCTGGGCGCGGAACTTCTGTTTCTGATCCTCCAATCGGAATGCAAGTAGTAAGGCCAGTAACTCTGGTGTTTTGGTTAACTTGACACCCGTTCTCATAGTTATCACAGAACTAAAGCGGCAAAGATATGTTGACAATGTCGAGCCTTTTAAATGTTTATTTTGGCGTAAAGTAACACAGATAGTCAGCCACTTGTGGATGTGTAGCATTTCTCGCTGTAAATCCCTTTTTGCTGCGTAAGTTTGAAACTGTGCCACTTGTCGTCATTACAAGTTCGTGTAGAATAAGCGTAAAAGCAAGCGTGACTGCTTTTCGCCGCTCTGGCTGAATAACCTCTCTTGTTTAGACACACTTTAATACAGTCCATACGTGAAGTTGGAATGCTTCTGGGTTTCCGTGCTTGTTTGGTGTGAGGATGTATTAGTAGATTCGGCTTTGGTAGCTCTAGTGTTGGTTGTCCGATTTCTTGAATTAGAATGGGAAACCACGTTCTGCGCTGGCCAGTAGAGTGACCAAAATCAGTTGGAGGCTCTGTGTTTGTCTGATTTTCTGTAACACTTGTGGGATTAGCGCTGGCGGAAAGCGCGTCTGCGTTGAGGCCTTCCAGGATATGCTTAGAGCGTCCGTTGCCATGCTTGTGGATCGGGACTGGTGATCTGAATGTTGTTAGCTGATTGTTGAAGCGAGTGGCGAATAGATCTACTAAGCGGAGCTCCTATTTTCTTGATAATCTGTGCAAAGATTTCTGTATGGAGCATCCATTCTGTCGGTGACGGTAGGTGTGGCCGAGAGAGTGCGTCTGCTAGTACATTCTTGGCTCCGGGAATGTGACATGCTCTGACATGTAAGTTGAGATCGTCGATTAGATCGAACAGTTGAAAGCATAAAGTCAATAGGTTCAGTGATCTCGTTGAGCCTTGTTTGTTTACATAAAACGCCACTGTTGAGTTGTCGGTGTGAATCATCAGATGCGCCTTCTGTAGAATGGTGCTCCAATGTAGTATGGCGTTGATTACAGCTTTCATCTCTAGCATGTTTATGTGGAGCTTGCTTTCTTGCTGATTCCATAACCCTGATGCCGTCCGGTTGGCGAGATGAGCTCCCCAACCTTGGAGCGACGCGTCTACATAGAGATGGGTTTTG